AAAATACTGACTGCCTGCCTGTGAGGTGGCAAAGTAGAATCCTCTTCCCTTTGTAAGTAGAAAGTAAATCTCAGGTAGTCTCATGCCCCTTGCTCAGATTCTCAGTTAAGCAAAAGCTTTTGGAATAAGGCTGATTCCCTTGCACAATGTGGACTTCAGTCGTGTAAGAGCAAGATGTTCTATTTCCTATGCCTGAGTACCTGGAAATCCCTTACCTCTCTGCCAGGGACAAAGTCTCTAACTCACGAGGATCTACGCAAGTTTCCCCGAGATGTTAAGATTTCCAGCATCACTCAGGAAGCTAAAGTACAATCTAAACTATACTACCGGAAGGATTTACTCCACAGCACCCTTCAAATGCATAGCTCCTTTCCCAGATAAGCAGATTCGCCACACATCATCACCAATTTTCCAAGAAAGTCTGTTATCTCTCTGAGTGTCAAATTTGAAAGCCCACTCCAAAACAGACCAGGCAAACCAAATAAACTCTACCATCTTAGATAGCTACAGAAAGTCAATTTTTAGCCAGTCCCCATATTCTTCCCTCTCACATACCCTAAGTCAAATCCTTTATTCTATTTCAAAAGGAATCAGTAACCAACCTCATGACAACAAAGCAAGTATTTTCCATTTCTTGTGAAACACCTAACACTATTTTATAATGAGAAAGAACCCTAAATGAAATTTGTTTTCCTATATGGATCATCCTAGAAAAAATGCTACCTTTAATAATCTTACTTGGTCTTAAATAAAGTTTCCCTTTCTGCTAAACAAGAAAACAAGCATATGACATTTTACAGCCTGTCGATAAAGAGATTTTTTTTTTACCCTGGTCATTTCTGCTAGTCAATTCTTTATGTTCCAAGAATATTATAAAATCACTTCTACCCTTTAGTTGAATTTGCTCTTTTGATGGTTTTTGGAGTGAAATTTACTTTTTAAAAAATATGTTTATTTCTATCATTTTTTAATTATGAGTGTGTGTGTGTGTGTGTGTGTGTGTGTGTGTGTTGTATGTTCAGCTGCCTACATAAGCCACGAGCAAAAGATCCTCCTGCCTCTGGAGCTAGAGGCAGTTGTGAACCACCCATTTTGGGCACTGGGAACTGAACTCATGTTCTCACCCTCTGAAAATTTCTCTATTCTCCTAAAATTGACCCTTAAAATGGCAAATAAGATGGTGTGCACGTATTAGAGCCAATACCACCAAGTTTCATTCACAGAACAGGAAGGCAACATCGTCATTAAAAGTACTAAGTCTTAAGTAGGATGTCTTCATCAAACTCCTACCCTTCAAGGCTGACTAAGTTAGGCAGAAGAGGAGACAGAGAGATGGTAAGAGCCAGAGGTGATGGATGACTCCAAAGCAACAGTGTCTTCCAGAGACAAGAGGACTGATGCCCATACGAACTCACAGAGACTGGCTCAATACATAGGGCTGGCATAGGCTCAATCCAGATGGGGTCTCAGAGCTAAGAGAGGGAAGTAGGCACCGGCTCCCACCCATAACCAAGAAACTATCCACAATTGATACCTGTTTGCAAAGGAAAAAATTAGTTTTCTGCAACAGAGTTTCAGTGGGCCCAGCAGTAAGTGACCAACGCAAAATGAACACAATGGTATTTGTGTAGCCTTTTTGTCTCATTATGCTTTGTTTGAGTTTTGTTTTGTTTTTTGCCTTGTTTGGTCTTTTGATTGTTTATTTTTATTTCTGTGTTTATGTTTGTGAGTGGAGGTGGGGTATTTCTTGTTTGTTTTTGGCTTTTGATTGTTGGTTTTAAAAAGAGAGAAAGAACATAAAGTTGGGTGGGTGGGGGGATAGGGATGATCTGGGAAGAACTGGGGGAGGGGAACACATGACCAAAATATACTACATGAATTTTTTCAGTCAAAAAATAGAAATAAACACCCACACTTGGTTTGTAAGGTATAGATTATTCCTTGCTAATTTACAAGAAACTGAGACATAATGAGGGTGTATATGTCACAGAATGACCTCGTAAAGTCTAAAATATATCTTGAAATTTATTTTTATCTCAATTTTAGTAAATGAAGAGGGAAGTCATTAAAACGTTGATACAATCTCTCCATAGAACAAATACAAATTCTTGGTAGCACATAGGTCCTTCAGTACAGTAGATGAGCCATTTATCTCTACATAGCAAGAATAATGTTGATTTCTCACATTTACTCATGTAAGCACAGGTTGTTTGATGTAGTTCATAGTCTTGATCTTGCTAATGAACCAACCAACCTCAAAAATTCTTAGTGTAACATTTCTGTTCTGTCCCAGCAAACAACTAATCTCTACAGTATTATTATCAGACAAGTAACATCAGTAAGGCCTAAGCATCCACTTCCAGAAAAGTGACTGCATACAGAGATTACCTCCATCAGAAGGGGCACAGCAACCTAAAACACGAAGTGGTTCCAGAGATATCGATACTAGAGAGCTTTGAGAGCTATCAGATGTTCTACCTACAGTTTTTAATACATGTGTGTATTATGAGAATATGAAGAGAAAACTCAAATGCCCAAGAAGCATGGACCACCTACAAGGATAAGATGATGTGGCAAAAATGCTGGGATTCTGTGTAGTCATCAGGAATCCCAGGGCTGCTCGTGAGTTCTTACAATGAGAACTACAGACATCCTGCTTGTATAAATGCCCCAGCTCCTCTGAGGTGCCTTTGACCAGGCATCACTGCAATGTTTTCTTCTGAGAAAGGTGGCCTCTCACAATGAGCATCCCACCAGACACCCATGGGGAGGCTGTCACACCACATGTGGTGTCTCTCTTCTTGAGAGAGTTCTCTTTAGCATTTAACTGGGACTTTTTTTTACATGTATCTGCATGTTGTTGATATTTATTAAGGTTGTTTCCAAACTGTTGTCTGCCTTCAGCAGATGTTTACCTTAACACACACATACACACGTCATTCTGGGTCAGGAGCATGGAAGAATATATAAGAGTAAAGCTATGTTTAACTTTGTCATAAAAAAAAACAATTATATGGGAAATCCAAGGTTGGCTACATTGTTCTCTAAAAGGCAGGTTAAACTTAACAGTCATGCATATACAGTAGGATAGCAAGCTAAGTACATAATCTTAAATGATCACAAAGCATAATATTAACTTAAAGATCCATCAGATACTTTGAAGTCAAAAGATATTTTCATAAAAAAATGTATCACTACACAACTAACTGGGACTTTTAAGTATTAATTTTATTTGTTTGCTTGCTTGTTTGTTTGTGGCATAGTCTCACTACAAAACCCAGGCTGTCCCGGAACTCATGATCCTCATGCTTCGGCCATTTGTGTTCTAAGATTGCAGGATTGCAGCATCATGCCAAGAATTGTGACTCACTGATTCATTTTGGTGTCAGGGGCTAAGCAAGTAATCACATACTATGTTGCATCTCTAGATCCTACTACTACTTTTAGCCTGTAGGATCAAATGGAGTAAACTGTTTAATTCATTTTAACCAGTTATCCCCTAGACCCTATAAGAATCACCCACTCTCATCAACCAAAATGCTTTTCTGCTGGTTCTACAAACCATTGTTTTGTTGAAAGACCTTCTCAAGACCTCATGCTCTCTAAAGTTCCCTGTAGTAGTTCTCAACACCAGCATCTCTTCAGGGAACTTGACATATCTCTCTATAACACTTAAAGAGAACCCTGCCACTCCCAAAGTAGGATCTAAAGCAAAAACCTACACCATTTTATTTACTCCGGTTTGCTAAGTTTAGCCGTAGTGGAATGAGTGACAGCATCAACAATTCAGTGTTCCCTTGAGCAAGCCAATAGTGCAAATCGTACTAACACAACCTAGTAAGTCTAGAATGCACTAGTGACAATACATGGTTACAAAACTGTCTCCTTGAACTTTTCATCAAGAAACATCCCAAAGTACTGTGTGATTTTAAAGCAGCAAGAAATGCTTGCCCTGTGCTACTAGCTACTCCGAGGGAACACAAATGGCCAGGATAGGAAGTATGTGCCTGAGACTGGAAAATTACAAACATGTGAGCCACTCTTCAAATTCCCCTTTGCACTGGATTTGAGCCAGGATACTGCATCTTATACTTCCAGTCATGCATGAAAGACAGTTGGGGGATTTTCTAACCCAAGATCGACAGGGGACAGGCAGTGAGTAAAAGTGTATTTTGCTATGAGTTTGGACATTTATATCTTATCTTTATTTAAATGTGTCATAAATACCAACTATATCTTTTACTTTACTGTAGCTCCTAAGTAATCCAAGATTTGAGTTTGCCTCTTTTAATAAAAAAAAAGTAAGGATTTAAATTATAAACATAAAATGGGAGCTGGAGAGATAGCTTGGTAATTAAGAGCACACACTGCTCCTCATGGGACATGGGTTCAGTCCCTAACACCCACCACATCAGCAGGGTTACTATTATCTGTAACTCCACCTCCTGGTGACGGGATGTCATCTCCTTGCTTCCAAGGACACTCATACCTGCGTGCATAATAAACTCACACAAATTCACACATGAACACATAACTAAAAGTAAGAATAAAATGTGAAAATAAATAAACGTAAAACAGTGATCACAACACTCAAGGGGTGAAGCAAGAAAGTCACTGTGAAGACCAGGCCATGCTTGACTACAGAGAGAGGCCTTGTCGCAAACGAAACCAGAAATCAATGAAACTGAAGAAAGCTGGGCACTATTCAAACACAGGTAAAAATGTCAAAGGACCCTCCAGTCTGATCACACGCCATGCATGACCCCATCATATGAAAACATCTGATCCACTGTGAAGAGTTTCAAGAATGTAAGATATTATTTGAAAGACTTTGTAAAAGGTCTAACAAGGACTTTGACCTAAGCGTATTGCATAGCGCTCAGTGCTCGGCTGGCAGGCACTAAAGAGTTTGTGAAAATGTATCACTCATTGTTACTATCGTGGATAGTTAATACAGCAGCCACTCCTGAGGCAGACGCTGATCTTTGATATAGACTTACCAGGAAAGAACTTCCAAGTTTCTCAGGCTCTTTCCTCCTGGAACTCTGAAGTCACAGTGGATGACTAACCTGGATCCAGTGTATCATGTGTGCAAACCAGCACGTGTAGACACCACGCTCTCTAAGGAACTTGTATCAAAACGATCACAAGGAAAGAGCAAAGCCCAGTGTCAGAGTTAACTTCCAATCAGGATATCCCACCTGGAAGGAAGCCAGCTTCCTCCCCTTTGAATAAAGCAAGAAAGATATGACCTTTCTTTTAACTGAATGAACAATACCATTGGCATAACAGCTTCTGTGGGCTTCAGCCTTGTATGTGTTTTTTTTTTAAGTCCTTTGGTAGCAAGTGAATTCAGCAATAAAGCAATAAAGCCATATTCTCCTTTGCTTTCTGTTGTAGGCATTCAAGCAAGAACCAAGAGGGAACACCACTTCCTGGCTTGCTCAGATAGCTTTCTTAAACAACCCAAGCCCACCTGTCTAGGGGTGATGCTGCCCACTGTGGGCTGAACTCTCCCACACCAATAAATCGGTAGAATTCCTCATAGGCAAGCAGACAGGCTAATCTAATCCAGGCAGTTCTTCAGCTGAGGCTCCCCTACCCAGGTGGCCCTAGGTTGTGTCAACATCTGAAACTAAAGAGAAACCTGGACATTCAGAATGGCTGTATCACACTGCTTCGTCATTTTTGCTTTTAAAACCCATGTTTAGATGTTTAAATACTAACGATTACATTCAGGAAGAGTGAGGAAGGCCTTTTGGTATCTGGACATACTTTAAAACAAAAGCTTCCCGAACATTCTGCAGCATCCACATGGATGCCCAGCACGTGTACCCTAAACAAGCATTTGTTTTGCAATAAAAAGCCCCACCCCCAAATTGCTCCGTGGGGTTCACCGCATCTTTTCTCTTCTCTCCTGTCTTTGTCTTTTACACACTGACCAGAGCCTGAGTGTGCTGCCTCTGGTGCTTTGGCTGTCTTCACCTTGTCTCTAATGCCCTCTTCCAAGCCATGTGGTTGCTTGTCCTAGTGGGGCTCTCACCTCCATGCCTGACTCAAACGGCATGGCTCCCTCTCTTCATCCTCTCCTTTCTTCTCTGGGTAGCTGCTGAGACACTAGAGCTTGACCACCCTGGGCTTTCTCTTTGAAACTCTGATAGAATTGTCCGCAGCTTCAAAACAATGAGTTTAAGGATAATTTTTAATCTTACTATTTATTTATTTCAATTTGAATATAATTACATTTCCCCCTCCCTTTCCTTCCTCCAACCCCTTCCACACCCCTCCCTGCCTTTGATTATACTTGTTGCATATACATCCACATATGAATCAAAAAGTTATAAAATACCTTATATCCAATAACAATCAATTAATCCATTATAATATTATAGACTTTCAAGGTTTTATTTCTGTTTTCTTTTTATTTGTCATGAGGCTTCATTGTGCGATTTAAACTGACCTTGATACATTATGTAGCCCAAGCTGACTTGAAATTATAATCCCCCTGCCTCAGCCTCTTTAGTGCTGGCATTATAGACACATACTGCCTTGTCTTCCTACTTTCTAATGATTAAAAGATGATGACTTAGCCGGGCATAGTAGCATATACCTTTAATCCCAGCATTCGGGAGGCATAGGCGGCCAAATATCTGAGTTTGAAGTCAGGCTGGTCTACAGAGTGAGTTCTACAACAGCAGGTAACTACACAGAGAAACCCTGTCTTGGGAAAGAAAGAAAAAAAATGATGGGTTGCCAAGATGGCTCAATGGGTAAAAGCACTTGCTATGCAAACCAGACCTAGATGTATGTTGAAACTCACAGTGAAAGGAGGGAATTAACTTCTAACAGTTACCTACTGACCTAGACACAAGCATACACATATACTCAGACACATGCACCAATAATAGTAGTGGTTGTAATAATAAATATGCCAGTTAAGAGACAAAAGATCAAAAGTATTACTATTTTGCTAAGTTTTAGTGAATTACATTGACTGTGTATAGATGATAATAGCACAGACATACAGACAGATATACATACACACATAGACACATACATTGAGCATTTATATCTGAAAATGATCATAGTTAATCCTGAATGCTATATTGTGGGTGAATTTCATTTGCTTCCCTGTAATTTTTATATAAAAGTGATTTATTCCATATACTTTTTAAAGTTTTGTTGTCTTGACTCCAGAGACAGAGAGTCTGGCGTGGGATGTGGGTTGTTTTGGCTACCATCTCTAATGATGCTTTTCTCTTTATTTCATCTTGTTATTTGCATTTGTTTGATGCATACAGATCAGGCTATCATGATATGTTCAACTAATGAACCAAAGGGATTTCTCCCAAGAAGATTCCCAGATCCCCCTGTTTTGTATTCTTCTCTGGTTGCCTGAAGAAGTGCTTCTCACCTGCAGTGAGTACAGAAAAGCATTGGAGGACAGAGTCTAAATGACACAGCCAAGGTCTGCAGCCTGGAGACCCTGGCGAAGACGGCTGAAGTTCCAGGCTGCTGGGTTGTCACCACAGATCCCTCTGGTTCCATAATCACCTTTCTTATGCTGTTCCTTGAGTCCATACTTAGCCACTCTTTCGGGGTTACACACACAAACAGAAACAGAGAGAGAGAGAGAGAGAGAGAGAGAGAGAGAGAGAGAGAGAAAGACCTGTTTGATTAAGCACAGCTTCTTTTGCTCTAAAAGGCATGTCCACTTTACTTTACTTATTTCTCTCCAGAAACATGGTATTATTCTTCTGATCATGCCCACTCACCTTTCTAAATGTGAAAGTCCCCTCTCTCTGACATAGAGAGGAGTCACGCCTGTCTCCCTGGGTGCTTAAATCACCTTGCTGTTTTCCAAGCCAGCACATGCCGTCTCTAATGAGACCTCACACCATTCTTCTGAACACCAGTGACCTACTCAAAATGTCAGTACTCACTAAGAGGTCGGGGAATCTATCCTAAAGTGTTCTTTTCTTGTTCTACACCAGTTTTTCCTTTTAAGTCATCTCCAAAAGGCAAATATGTGTTTTTAACCACCTGTGGCATACCATCTCTCAAAGAAGAAAGATGGGCAGGTGGAGGAATAGTGGAAAACAACAAGACAATGGAAGAGGAAGAAAAAAACAAAAGAGAAGGGAGGGTAGGAGAGAGTATCAGAGCCTACTATGGGTGTTTTGTCTGAAAGGGGGACTTTACCATGTAGGACAGGCTAGTATGTAGTTCTGACCATGTGTAAGGGGTGTTATGCAAATACATTTCTGATAAAACAAACACACATCTTTATAGATTTATGCACTCTCCATGAATACATCCCTAGGTTGAAACTTCACCTAAGAATCTCTGTCATGAAAATGGAGCAAGCAAGGAGCTACAGAGATGGCTTCATGGTTAAGTGTTTGATGTTATTCCAGAGGACCCAAGTTTGCTTCCCAGAACCCATGTCAGGCAGCTCACAACATTCTGTAAACCCAAGTCCAGAGGATCTGGTGTCTTCTTCTGGCCTCCTCTACACACACACACACACACACACACAGAGAGAGAGAGAGAGAAAGAGAGAGAGAGAGACAGAGAGACAGAGAGAGAGAGAGAGAGCATATACTACACATGCACATACATAAATCAATAAACATAAGTAGTGAGTAGGCTGGGGAGATGACTCAGCAAGTAAACACACTTGCTGTGCAAGCATGAGGACCTGAGTTTGAATCCCTATTAAAAAGCCAGGCACTGCCTCATGTGTCTGTGACCTCAGGACTGGAGGCAGAGATAGGCAGATCTAGGAGCTCACTCAGTGTTGAGCCAGCTTTGCCCTCCAAGTGAACTTAGTAGTGTATGCCTTTAATCCTAGCACTTGGTAGTCAGAGGCAGGTGGATCCCTGAGTTCAAGGTCAGTCTGGTCTACAAACTGAGTTCCAGGAAAGTCAAGCACTACTCAGTGAAACCCTATCTCAAAAACAAAACCAAAAAAGTAGGGCTTGCATCACGCTACACTTAGAGAGACTGGTTGAAGCAAACTCTGCATCTACAGTGTAGACACAGAGACCTCAGGAACACATTTTGGTTCCAGAAATCCACTGAATGTCTTCACTGCAGATGAGTCAAGTCACTCAACAGTCTCTTGTTCCTGTGGACAAGGCTGGTGGCGGATGGGGTACAGCGGGATGGAGGAGACATCTGTGTGAAGAGCCTACCCTTGCACAAACTGCCTGCCTCAGACTGGTTTCCTAGCAGAGGCTTGTTTGGGGTTGCAATGCCTGGATAGCTCCTGCTTCCTCACAATTGACAGAAAGACCCCCTCTTCCTTCCCTACATCCTCTATTGAATGTGGTAGGAGTGCAGGAAACGCCATTTGGTTGCACCCACTGCTGTCCAGGGTCATTTTTAAGACTCACCAGCAGATTCAAAGGCTTTCCAAGTTACCAGAAGTGTGTGCACTGGGGGTGGGGAGGCTCACAGTAGGCTATATACCCAAATGTGGTTGAAAGTACCCTAGCTAGCAGACAGAAACCTACAGGTTCAAATCCAAGCTCTTTCCTTTAATTTATATTAACCAAGTTACTAGTCTTTTTGAACTTCAGTGTTCCTATCTATAAAAATGGGGCAGAATTTTTTTTAAAAAAGAACATCTCTGATGCCAGTTAATGAGAATTAAATGAAATAATATAACTAGTTGCAGAGAAATAGTGACTGAGACTATAGAATGCCTATCACTATAATAGCATCATGGCTACCACGTTAGATGCAGTCTTACCTTAAGGGTTAATTACCTCAATTAATCTTCAAAACAACCTATTATATCCTTTCTACCTTCTCTGTGAACAAGCTAAGACACCTAAGAGGTTAGAGGAGCCACCCAAGGCAGTGCAACCTCACAGTCAAAAAGTCTGACAAAAATCCAAGTTGTGCAGTCCCCTGGACTCTATCAGCAATTTTGTAATACTTCCTCTTAAAGCAAACTCGATAACTGTGATTCGTGAGTAACTGCAGAGTCTTACTCAGTCTGTTTCCTGTTTTTTGCAAGTTAAGTCTAATGGACTTGACCCTGTTATTATTTTCCAGTGAAATATACTGAA